TGCCTGTGTACCGAACAGCCATTTTTGTACTTTGTTGTCATCCTGAGTGTTTAGAAATGAAGACAATAAACAATCAAAGCACACGTACAAGTTTGGGAAATTTCACTGAACTGAGCTGGCCCTGGCGGTGCAGGGCAGGTCTACAGTCTCTTTTATTCAGGAAGCGGAGGCTGGAGTTCAACCTTGTCTCCTAAATCACCAGCTGGGTACCTAGTGAGACTCGGTTTCAACATAAAAAAATGGAAAGAGCTAAGAAATAGCTCAGTGATAGTGTGCTTGCCTGGCCTTCCTGGGTTCCATTCCCACCACCCTAATAAACAACAAAACAGCACAACCCTCAGGCCCCATCTGTTTATCATTGTCTCCATCCCTCTATCATCAGAGTTCTGATGAAGCTCTCCTGAGCTCTCACCTGGGCTTTTTCTTGGAGTTACGATGCCCCCATATCTTCTTGTAGCCCAACCTACCCAAATACGATACGTATTTGGTGAAAATGTACATTTTTCATGAGTTGTTTCTGATGGTGCATGTATTTTTTTTGGCAGTTTTCAAAAGGAAATGCTCATTTTTCTGGGAGTCATAACCATGTTTTATATGTCAGACTTAGTGGACATACTGCATTTTCTGTTCAATCTAGAAATTGGTCTCACTTAAACCGATCAGCCTTTTAGTTTTACCACCCAACGAGTTTACCACATAAAAGCTAACATGCTAGTAAACAGCCTGCAAGTTTGGAGGACATTTGAAACAAAGTCCTGAACAAACAAAACAGATAGCCAAGCCTAAATGTTACATGAAGAAGTCAATGAGGTCACCAGAACAGCATGAACCCCTGCAGGAGAGGAGCAAGCTCAATGGAGCACAAGGGTAAAGAGGTTCTCGGGAGACCAGGCTGTAGGGACAGGGCTCTGTGTGATCAGAATGAGCTCTGTCCCATTTCCTTAGATGCTTTACGTTACATAACCGTGTCTCCCAAATCGCTGGTGTGAACACAATCACACAAAGCAGTAGCAATCTTTACCAGGAAAAAGCGATCATGGGTTTTTTATATTGGAGGGGATGGGTTTTATTGTAATAAAACGAAAGAAAGCTGTGGCTGTGTCTATGAACTTTCCAGACAGATTCTATGTTCTCTATTAATTCTACAGCTCAAATCTTTTATCCTCTCTGATACTAAAATATTTTCCTAGGGTTCTGAGGAAATTCAAGACATTCAGTGATCTGCAGAAAGGAAACTATGGTTCCCCCATCTTGCATTCAAAAGGTATTTCTTGCATGCCTGCTCGGTGGGGTGGGGTGGTGAGCCCAACACACAAGGAGCTTGCACTCCAGGAGCGAGAGAGGCGCTTAGCAACTGATCTCACCAACCTTTACCATGCAGGTATGAATACCGGCTTAGAGACAGAGCCGCTATCTCTAAGAAAAGAATTGACTTTGGTAAGTTGTCCTCTCATCTTCACATGTATTCCCACCACACCCCACACAACACAGAACAACAACAACAATCAAATGTAAAAAAAGTTTATTTAAAAAAAAGAAATTAGTTATCTAAGAAATATAACCACGGTTTTTTTTTTTATACTTCAAATATTTTCTGATTCCAGGTCACACTAAGCATGTACAAAACAAGTTAATGTCAGCACAAGTTCCTTGCCCTTCCCTGGCTATGACTGTAGTGTTTTTCTGTCTAGGCTGTGCTACCACCAGAACAGGGCTCCTAGCTCTGAGTGTCACTGGTGGCAATGGGAATGCTTTGCAAAGTTGTACAACTTCCTGGACATGTTTTTCAATGTGTGTTGTTTCCCTTCTTTATTCCCCTTGTGCCCTCCATCCTGAGAAAGTGTTGCATTTCCTTTTAAATTTAAGATGTATGGTTTGTGTCCCAAATTCCTTTCCTGACTCCATGCTTTTATAGGAAGAATAGACAGTTTTGGTGTGTTACATGCCTCCCTCGACTTGTATGGGCAGACATGCCCATTTGAGAGGAATAATTAAGATATGAACTTCTATAATCATTTCTGAACTAGCGTTATGGGGAACACCAACTCCCTGGAGGCCTGAGAACATTTAACAAAGAGCCATGTGGGAGGTATGGGCAGTCATAACTTCAAAGTCTTCATGGGCAACATAGTGAGATCTTGTCTTTTTATGAGAGAAAAAAGAAAGGCAAGGTTAAGCTGGTCAGTCTTGTGGTTGGGACTGTAGAAAGTACTGTCTGGAGAAGATGGGGCAGGAACTGAGCCTGTGGGCTGAGTACTTAGGCAGAATGAAGAGTTGGGGGTTGGAAGCTTTCCATAGAGAAGACACATGAAGCCATGGCCTGGCAGGAGGTGAACACGGAGAAAGTCAAGTTTTAGCAATTTTGGATCAAACCTTAACATATAAAATGCATGTGTGCTTATGTTCTGCAGTAGATTTCAGAAGCCAAGTGGGTGTTAACCACTTATATAACAGAAGAGTGAGGATAAGAATGGTTAGAGCCTAGAGCAGTGATGCAAACATGCCTGTAATCTCAACCTCTGGGGGCAGAGGCAGGAAACTGGACTATATGGAGACCCTATCTTCAGAACAACAAAACAAACCAAAGCAAATCTGCTGGAGTTCAATCATTTCAAGTTGGCAGTGAATGGTCTTTGGTCTTCAAGCCTCAAACAGTCTTCTGGAACACATAAAATTGTTATAAGAATTTGCTCTACTTGTCTCAAGGTTGTCAAGATAGCTGAACTGAGATGATGGATGTGAATGTGTTTTGTAAACTGTAAAGTGCTTCCGTGTGCATTATTACCAGCATACTGATAACTAAACTGATTTACGGTAAAATTCAGCATTTTCTTTTAAGTAAGCTCTTGAGACAAAATGGCAGATACTGAGAGTTTCTCATTTGTGGCTGAACACAACTGCTTATAAGCGAATCGAATGAACATTAGTACGGTGCACAGTTACACAGCAGGGAATACAAATGGCCTTTCCTGAATGGGGGGGGGGGGGGGCAGCTAGCTTGATAGTAGACCAACCTGCGTAAAGATTAAGTAAACTTTGTTCAAGCATCACCCTCTGCACATACATGTACACACGTGCTTAAAGAGGAGAGGACTAGTGGACGGTGGAATTTCCCATACAATGGCGTCTACCATAAGGAGCCAAAGTTAGCCTAGGGAGCAGGCAAAGAGATTCCCTCTGACATCTCCAAATATATGAAAAAACGTTAAAGTTCACTCCAGTCTACACATATGAGAGAATCATTTAAACCTGCATGATCTAGAGAAAAAGCTCAAGTACAGTAGGTTAGGTTCCTTAGATAAGCTGTCCAAAGTCCAAAATAATGCCTTTATTTTTCAGCTAGGCTTGATGAAAACAGACAAACAAACAAAAATTTTTAGAACATTAAAATAAATGGAATACATTTTTTCCAACTAAATCAAATTTTTGTTTTTTTCTTACTTAACATAACACAGTTTAATTTCTTAGAAAGACAACCCCAATTACTTAGACCAGCAGAAAAACATCTTTATGACCTGACCTAAACCCAAGCGCCACCTAAAATTGCCTTGCTTTTGTTTGTTTAATGAACAGCTCCAAAAAAAAAAAAAAAAAAAAAAAAAGAAAGAAAAGAAAAGAAAAGAAAAGAAAAATGGAGATGTTGAGGCAAGAGGCAATGGCTGCTTATAAGAGGTAGTTCTCACTGTCATGTGTACTCTAACTTACCACGTAAACAATCTCCAAATTCTTTGTGAGCTTCACATACCCTGGCCTCCTTCCTCCACTCAAAACACTTTACAGAACAGCCTATCAAGCCCTGTGGCCTCATCTAACACATGAACTCTTGCTAAGTTGACCCACACAGACCACCTCTTAGCCGTCACTGTCTTTGGGCAGGGTTACTGCCCAATCTGTCCAGATCTCTTTAGAAAACACCCTGGCAGAGTGCAGGGAATCATATGAAAGATGGGGGAGTTGGTAAGACCTGGAGAGGACAACAGCTCCACAAGGACCAAATATATCTGGGCACAGGGGTCTTTTCTGAGACTGATTCTTCAACCAAGGACCATGAATGGATATAACCAAGAACCCTTGCTTGGATGTAGCCCACGGCAGCTCATTATCCAAGTGGGTTTTCCTAGTAAGGGGAATAAGGACTGTCTATGACATGAACTCAATGGCTGGCTCTTTGTCTCTGCCCCCGCTCCCTGCCCCAAGACATTGCAGCCAGTCCTGAAGAGACCTGATAAACTAGGGTCAGATGGAAGGGGAGGAGGACCTCCCCATCAGTGAATTTAGAGAGGGACAGGGAGGGTGGGATTGAGAAGGAATGTGGGAGAGGGCTACAGCTGGGATACAAAGTAAATAAACTGTAACTAATACATTAAAAAAATAAAAAATTAATTAAAAAAACAAAAAGAAAACACCCTACCTGACCAGTTCTATAGTCAAGGACCTTCTGTTTTCTTGTTGAGACAGTTTCAGACTGCAGATGATTCCTGGCTTTCAGAGGAAGGTAACAATGTATTCCACATTACAGTTTTCTGATGGGGGTGAGGGGTGCTGGCTAGCCACACAATGTGATGATGGCATTTGCTCTTCTGTCCCATAGCTTGTAAATCCATCTGACAAAGTTCTATAGTTTTGGGGCTTGGCTTTAGGAGGATGGCATTGATGTTCCAAGTCAGATGTGAGGTCTCACTGTGCTCATGGTGGGGGTTGTGCACTGTAAGCCCCAAAGGCGGAGTTTGGGGAGCAAATTTTACAGTTTCTGGAATCGTATCTTCTAAAGACTGTGAATTAAATTCTAAAAAGGTCTAAGCTTTTAAAGAAACCATTTTCTAAGCTATTTAAGCATTTGATAGGTATATATATTTGCTAATAGATACTTTAAATATGACCAAAGAGTGGAATATTCTTTAGAAAATTAAGACAACCTTGACAAAAATCTTTAGCTTATCTTAAATTATAAACTAATCACATATTTTTGAAATAAAAGCTAATGTAATACTAAAGGAAGTCATAGACTGTTTATTGCTCTCTTAAAACCAAAATCTTAAGCTTACAGCATATAATGTTATTCCCTTTCCCTTAAACAAGAATAATGGATTATCCTGGCTGGTTTGTCTTGAGTCCAAGCAGAAGGTTTACTACATCTCCCTGAAAAGAAAAACAAAAAAACACCACAATTACAATACAATCAAATTCAATCTGAACAGTAAAGCTGTCTTTAAAACCCCATTTGAAATTTGCAAGTTAGATGTCCACATTTAATGGGCACCCAGTGAGATTGTAAAAGAGGGAACCAAAAGAGGAAGGTTTAAATGATGACACTTGTTTCCTGGCATAAAGCTGCTTTCCTAGGACAGCCTCTCCCAATGAAGCTTGACAAACAGTTTTACAAGGATTTGATGGAAAGCCAGTCTCGGCACCTCCTGTTTGCCTTTGTGCCTAAGCCCGAGCTAGCTCCCTGTAATTCCAGTTCTTTCCTGAACTGCCAATGGTTGACTTAAAGACAGACTTCTCCATTTCCCAAAAATCACAAAATGAGCACAGAGTGGGGGCTGAAAACCAAAGATGAGAAAGAAGACTGAAAGAATGGATAGTGAAAAAAGAAAAGACAAGACCAAGCAGAGAAGCTGAGTACTTGCTACCACAGGGACCCCGAGAAAACCAACACCTGAAGGTTATGGGAGGTGAAGATACCAGCTGTTCCTGAACTCTAGAGACAACGTGCCCCTGCGTCTCAGAAATCAGTTTCCCTCCTCTGGCCTGTACCGTGCTTGCTGCCTTCAGTACTTCCTCAGCCTATAGTGCCCTATGGAACAAACCAGTTGCCAAGCCCTGGTGGTTATAACCTTAGCGTGCTTCTCCAATCTGTCCCTTTCTGCTTCTGTCTCTCACTTGGGCTAATGAAATGCAGTTTCTGCAGCTCTGCAGTTTGCCCAATGACGTGTCCTTAGTGCCTAAGACAGGCCCTATCACGATACATATTTAATCTGACCAACCAAAGAATGCATTTAGTATCTTTCAACAATACCCTATTACATTGTGTCTGTGTTTTTTAAGCCCAATTTTAAACATTCCACCTTTTAAATATTTTTCTTTAGTTAAGACAATATATATTGTATAATTTATTGTATATATAATTATATATACATATATATGTATATATATTCTTGTATACTTTATTATTGACTACTTGTATACTTTATTATTGACTACTCTGGCTCAGTGTACAGAAATATATATGTATGTACATATACATATATACGTATGTATATATATATACATATATACACATATTTATGTGTGTATACACAACACACACACACACACACACACACACACACACACACACACACACACATATATATATCCAAATCAGAGAATATGGCAAATTTCTGTACACTGAGCCAGAGTAGTCAATAAAGTATACAAGAGCAATCTTTAGCGACTAGCTGTGGAAAAGGTTTCTTCCTAAAAAACCCACTGAGTTAACTTCCACTGATTTCCTAAACCATAACTCTTCAAAGAATAACTTAGACACTCAGCAATTGACCCTCTAATCATGCCAAGAAAAGGGATGGTGTTTCCGGCATCATAAAAGATAACAGGAGGTAAATACTGTCAACAGTTAGCTATATGACAAAGTTAGAATTGCAAGCCCTGTACCCAGTCTCATTCCTGTCAGACAGGAATCTGGTGCTATTGTTAGCCATTAAGCAAGATAGGCATTGCTTTGGGCAATAATTCCTGTGTTCTCCTTGTTTGCTGTGGCTAATAAATCTTTCTATTTTACATCCTGGCTATACTTACTTTAGTTTTTCAATTCTCAAGATGTGAACCATATCATGAGCCCTAACTAAAGTTACTTCTAATTTATCAATATAGAAACATGACTGCTATAAACAGACCCTTTGTTTTCTCAGTAGTGTAACTTCAAGTGTTTTTTACTTTTATTCTTGTATTTCTCTATGTGCATATGTTCATGTGGGTGTCCTTTGATGCCAGACTAGGGCAGATGAATCAGATGCCCTGGAGGTGGAGTTACAGGTGGTTGAGAGCTGGATGCCGGGAAGTAAGTGTGGGCCCTGTGTGAGAAGGTGCTCTCCTTCAGCCCTCATTTATAGTCGTCAGCCTGACCAGATGGTAAAAGCATCATGATGCACAAGGAACTGAAGCCTGCCAAGTGAGCCACTGATGTGGGCAGCGTCATAGACTTCTGTGAGACCCTGCCTCGCCCCCTAACCAACATTGCTGTTTGATACACATCTCAGCCAAATGAGAGGTGACGTCTTAAATGTACACTCATGATATTATGCTTTTTATTCTGATAAAAAGAAGCATTATATGCAAAAAACAAACATAATTTTAATATGTTCTGCATAAAAAAATCTTTGTACTTGGTATTTTACTATTCACTTATATATGAAAAAACATGCCATCTCAGGCTTCCTGACATTTGCTATATAAATGTCTTACTGGGCAAGCTAGAATGACAATCATATACTGAAAAACAGGCTCTATAATGGAGTGAAAGTGTACAGTCTACTGGGTTACCATGTTATATGGCACTTGAACTTCTATGTTATACAAGTAGACTAAGACATCCTTCCTACATAAAAACAACACAACCTCCCCAAAAGAAAAACAACTTCACATTGTTATACTTGTTGGCTGGTTAAGATAAATGAGAAGTTATAACCTGGTCATTAGTGACTTCTGTGGTCAGTTAGTTTTCTGTTTTGTTGACATGATCTCCAAAGAGGCTATTATAAATATTCCCAGGACACTAGCTAACATTTGCTATCGGTTAGATTGTAACCACTCAATTGTTAGTTACCATCTCACATAATTTCAGCTGTGAATTTCATAAATGCTAGTGAAAATCAAAATGTTTTGATATTATAGAGTCCTCTTCTGTGAATTAGTATTTTACATATTGGCTCACTTAAAAATATATTGGGCTTACTTTTTCTGATAAAGTTCTTTACAAACACTAGAAAAGAACTAAACTAAAAAAAACCTAAAATTCATTCATGATCCTTCCTCTTAAGAAATTATATTTACAACATATTCTAGTATCTTATAGTGTTACAAAGCATATTTATTCAATAAACATTTGCTGTTACTGAACAAAGTAATGGAAATATAGCCTAGCAAAAAATACACAAAAATCATTGTTTTCACAGAATTTACATTCTGGTTTGGAGACATATATAAATAACTTTAAAAAATAAATAAGGGCATAAAATCTTGGAAAGTGAGTCTTAACAAAAAAAAACGTGATGGGGAGGGAGGAATAGGGGATATGGAGAGAATAAAGATTACAGTTTTAAATGAGATGGTCAAAGAAATCATTACTGAAAAAATGACATTTCAACAAAAATCTGAAGTAGGTGAAGAAGGAACAAACCCTGAGGGGTTTAGGCAGAAAGATGATAAATACAAAGTTCCAAAAATAGAATTACTAGTTTATGGCAATCCATATCCCTCTGAGCAGTTCTAATTTGGTAGTTTCAATTTGTCAAATTGTTTCCAAAGATAGTACCCCAGTTTCTAGCCCACCTTCAATATAAAGAACTTGGCTTAGCAAATGTTGTCTAGTACTTAGTTAGCCTATACACATTCTAAATAAACCTATCAATTTTATTGTGAAAACGTATATTTTACTTTAGTAACTTTTTATTTCTTAAATAAGACTAAATTTTGAAACATATCAAATTATCACATTTTTGTGAATGGATGTTCCTGATCCATGTCCATTTTCCTATTAGACTCAGCATTTTTTAAAAAATTATTATTCATGTGGTCTTAAATTTTTAACATTTTTCATATTAGGATATTTACCAGATTACTATTTGCAATCACAATAAAAAAAAAAAAAGAAAAACTGAAAACCTATTATAAAAATAATATGCATTGATGATAGGGAGCTTGTAGTCAAAGTTTGGCAACATAATGTTCACATTTCCATAGTTGCATAGGGTAAACAACCAGAAACCAGTTCTCACTTCAGGAGCACTGGACAATATCTGGAAACATTTGTTTCAGCTCCCACTACTCTCCAAGGCCTGGTTACATAGTAGATACTGCACTGAGTTCCTCCAGACAATGTTTAAGGTCCTCCCGTGGCACTACCAAGTGGAAAGCTGCTCATTTGTCAAGCTGCTTTGTTACTGAGTATTCAGTGAAAAACATGTTTTCACCCTGGCGTTCATCTTGAGACAGAGATAAAGGATGTTTCCCCAAGTTCCTTTAAACTTGTTTGTGTGACCTTGGGCCATATCTGCCACAGGGAAGTAGTTTAAGAAAACAAGTTTGGTAGCTCCATGAACTTCTTTCTTGTATTGATGTGACTTGTTTTTTTATCTGCCTATAGAAAGGAATTGTGGCATAAAGTTGTGGCTTCGGTCCTACTTACAGCCTTCTGGGGCTGATCCCATGTGTAGTGTGACTTGCTTTAATTATTTCAGTCCTTACTCCCCATTCGGTTACTGTCCGATTCTGCTCACAGGCTCTGGCACCACCATTTTCTGGCGAGCTAGTGGGCAGAATGTGCAATAGATGCCCCAGATCTCGGAATTCCTGCCCTGCCGCACACCTCATCTCTGCCAGCTACAGCCTACATTCATGACATGCTACACCTAAAAGTTTTGCATCCAAGTCTTACCCGGCCAGATTCCGATGCAGCAGGCATATTTTTCAGTTCATAGACAGCCACCTGGCCATCATTGTCTCCCACTAGAAGGCAATCTGTCTTTCTGGCAAAGAGAACGGTTGTAAACTTGATTCCAGGGTTAGCAACATTCACAATCAGAGGGTCCAAGCTGTAATGAAATAGAGTATCTATAAATTTAGGTGTCCTGATAAAATTGTCTTTTGAAAGATACAAACTAAGAGAGGTATAATAAGACTTAATTTAACCAACCAAAAATCTCCTGAAGTATTTTCAAATTTAGAATAAATTTTTCTACTAACCAAAAACTTCATTTCTTTGACAAGCCAATTGCAGCCAGGTAAATTTTGTTCCTAACTTAAATGTAAACACATAAACTTGGTTATACTATGGACCATATCCAGTTCTTTGGTCAAACACCCGTCTGCCAACACTAAGTTCTTGTTCTGTCTCTGTCTCTGTCTCAGCTGTAACGAACATTACAACTAGATGCTGAGACTCATAACCAAACCTTGGGCAGAGTTCAGGGAATCATATGAAAGAAGGGGGAGTTAGCATGACCTGGAGGGGACAGGAGCTCCACAAGGACCAAATATATCTGGGCACAGGGGTCTTTTCTGAGACTGGACCATGCATGGATATAACCAAGAACCCCTGCTTAGATGTAGCCCATGGCAGCTCATTATCCAAGTGGGTTTTCCTAGTAAGGGGAACAGGGACTGTCTCTGACATGAACTCACCACCCTGCTGAGGTGGTCTTGCTAGGCTACAGAGGAAGACATTGCAGCCAGTCCTGATGAGACCTGATAAACTAGGGTCAGATGGAAGGGGAGAAGGACCTCCCCTATCAGTGGACTTAGAGAGGGATAGGGAGAAGATGAGGGAGGGAGAGGGAGATTGTGAGGGAATAAGGGAGGGGCTACAGCTGGGATACAAAGTAAATAAACTGTAATTAATATAAAAAAATAAAAATTTATATAAGAAAAGAATTTAAAGAAAGCTCCTTTCTTTCCATACTGTGGGTATGCTTCGTCAAATTAGTTGAAGGCTTTAAGGAGAAAAGACTGTCAATTGCAGTATAATTCTGCCTGTAAAAATGCCCTTTTGTGCAGCCCACAAGACCCTACCACAGGCTGACAGAGTTATCCCTTCACAGGGGGATGTTTGGATCTACAAGAACCACTGGAGCATAGAGGCACCTTCAACTGGGATGGTTCTTAGTTTTTTTAATCATTAAAAATATTTTATTTTATTTATTTATCTCTCCTTGTATATGTGAACACATGTGTTGGTATCCACAGGGGCCAGAAAATGCTGTCAGATTCCTTGAAACTAGGATTATAGGCCAATGTGAGCTGCCCAATGTAAGTGCTGAGAAGTGAATTCTAGTCTTCTGAAGGAGCAGCTATTGCTCTTACTCACTGAACCGCCTCTCTATTCCTATCTCTTGATTTGAGTGACCTTTAATCACTTGCAAAAAAAGAAGCCAGCAGTGCAGAAATTCAGCCATACACAAAGATTATGTCCATTAAAGAATGCCATACACTGGCATTAGTGAGGGTAAGGAGTACAGCCCAATCTGGAGAAGCTTTGACTAGAAAACTGATTCTTAATTTTGATTAGACATTAGGACCATGTCGAGGGTTGTTCACAATACTTATTAAGTGGGGTTAGGTATCTGATGGTAGCCAGACATGGTAGTTTACAGCTAAAAAAAAAAAAAAAAAAAAAAAAAAAAAAAAAAAAACCTGTGATCTTAAAAAGAGAAAGGCAGCTTCATTCTTCTGTTTTCAGAGAAGCATTGCCCTGAAAACTACAGTTTTACCAGAAAAATTAAAAACCAAGCAATGGATAATTTAAGCAGCCAGTTTATTGTCTATTAGTCATTTATCAAAATGACTAATTTATCCTCTAACATGATGCTTGAGTTGTGGCTAGCACTCTTGGAGCCATAGTGCTTTCTCTCTGATGGTGGAGCTAGAAACAGTGTTATTTGATTTGAACTGTTTCTCCTGGAAACACGTACTCAAAACATTACCGTTTAATACTTACGTGCTGACCTGAAGGTCCCAAATTTCTACTCTACTCTCATTTGCAGCGGCAAAAATATAGGCGGATTTTGGAGACCAGGCAATATCATAAACAACATGAGTAGTTGTATAAAAGCTCAGCAACGGTGTGAGGGTTTCTTGGCGCCAGGCTATGACCCCCCAGTCTGCAGAGCAGCTCAGGAAGACATCAGGACAATGTGGGTTCCATACAACCTTATACACTGGCCCCTGGGGATGCAAAAATGCCATGTGTGGGTAAGGAATATTTAACATCTTCTGTTTTAAACTTAGCCAATAAATTAAAAGTTACTAAGATTTCTAGAAGCTCCACAAACACCACTGAGCATTGCAGAGGGACTACTTTAGCTGAAGCCAACACCATAAAGTGAATCTTCCTTAATTAGTCTTTATAAATATTTACTTGAGAAAATGGCCAGAAACTGTTAACACATACGACAGCCTTCTGGACGGGTAACAGATAATACTAAAAAAACAAATAAATTTGGAAGAGATGATCATAAAGAGACAAAAGAATCAATATAAGCAAGAAGCAACTTTTCTTTGGGATCACACACACTTACTCCAGGGCTACTAACTTAATGTATTTGTTAAACACAGTGTATATGTTTTCCAAAAATACCGGGAGATACAGTTTCCATATCTGCAAGGATTAAGCCTACCTTATGTCCTCTATAGGTCTCTAGGTATTGCTCATTGTATGAGCAGGAACACTTGTGAATAAGGCCTTCTTCTGTACCAGCCAGATAGATATTTGTGTCCTACAATACAAGGCATGTCAGGCAACAAATACAACAACAGACAACTTAACATACAGTAAACCTGTCCAATAACTAAAAGAGATATTATCTCAGATATAATTTTTGTTCTTTTGCCTTTTCTTTATGATTACACAATGATGAAACCTACTTGAAGCCTTTAAAGCTAGGTATAGGAGAGCATGTCGGCCCTCCAGGGACTCAGGGGCCTTTTCTGTACTGTCAGATTAGAGATCCCTTTGACCCACACAGCTTGATTACAACAGAAACCTTTCATGTTGTTAGCTGTAAAATTAGCATGGCTTTCAACTTCATGTATGTGAATATAGGTAAGACTGGCATCTTTGTGTTTATTGGCCATTAATGTTTCCTCCATTATTTCTCTTATCACTTTAAAGATCTTTTTCATATCCACTAATATAAAACTTTTGTCTACTTTAGAACCTATTACATATGTTACACACAACTTATTCTGTTATGTGGCTTTTCTTTTTATGTCGTATTGACTATTCTTACAAACACATGTTCTCACCCTATAAGTTAACATTTTCATGCTTTTCCAAAATCCCCCTATTACTTTATCTCATTAATTTAGCATTTTAAATTTTATTATAATTTAAAAATTCATAAAATGACAATATTTTTGTCACTTTCTGTCCCATGGAACTTGATAACATGGTATCACACTTTAACTTTTACTTGTTTGAGTTAGTCTGGGTGGCTTATTTGCTGCACTCTGAGTGAGTGGAACTATGGACTGACTTGAAAAGAAGGCTTTTATCAAGTAGACTCTCAAATAAAACCAAAAGAAACATCCATTCTAATGTATGCATAAACTGAAACAGAGAGATAAGAAAAAAAGAAAAAGTTAAAATGAGAGTTGACCACCAAACCAATTAAAACTGCTGGGCACAGTGGCACGCACCTGTAATCCCAGTGCTCAGGAGACAGAGGCAGGGGTATCCCTGTGAGTTCGAGTCCAGGCTGGTCTACAGAGCAAGTTCCAGGACAGCCAGGGTGACACAGAGAAACCCTGTCTCAAAAAACAAACAAACAAATCGAAACTTCTTGATGATCAAATACGATATTAAAATGGTTAAAATGCTGGACCAAGAATTCAAATCTACGTGCAAAAATGATAATGACTTCACAACGGGTTCAAACAAGCAGATGAATGATGTAAGAAAACCAGCTCAGGATCTGGCTAAAGAAGTCAGCATTATGGATGAGAAAGTCATCAACAGGCTTCTAAGGATGAAAAATAGCGTAGAGGAAATTCCACATTCAGCCATCAATCATAAGGAAACAGCATGAGCACAACTCTTGTGAACTCCAGTAGCAAGAAAGAAAACAAATCTGTGAATCCACAGGGCAGAAGATGCTGTGATTAATAAACAAACAAACAAATAAATGCATAGAAGTATCTCTTCAAAGACATTTTTTGTTTTAAGTTTCCCAAGCTGGGAAATAGGCTTCCAAGTACATGAGGTATTTAAAATCCTAAACAGACATAACCAGTACTTCCACAGGACACTGAAAGCTGCCAAAGAAAAAGGTCAAATGCACTTAAAAGACAACATATCAGAGTAACACCACACTTCTCAGCAGAAACTGTAATTTAGGCCAGGAAAATATGAGTGACATATTTAAAAAACCCAAACAGGTAACTGTGGAACAATATTATTACTATAAGTAGCTGCTGTGGACTGAATAGGAAATGACCTCCAATTGCATACTGGTGGTTCCCTTACTGATGGTACTGGTTTGTGTGTGTGTGTGGGGGGGGGGGGGGCATTGTGGAAGTTTACAGTGGTGGACCTTGCTGAAGGGAGAAAATCATGGAGTTTGGGCTCTGAGGTATATTCACACCCCCATGTTTAGCCAGAGATCTCTGTTTTCATTAATCCACTGAGATGTGAGCAAACTGTTGCATGACGCATCTCTATGATAGGAACCGTGTCACATGCCCTGCTGCCATGACAGGAACCACTAAAAGCCAGCCTTGATGATTTCATGTCTTCCCTACTATGAAACTGTGAGCGGAACTAAGTCTGTCCTCGCTTAAGTTGTTTAGGTGAGGTATTTGATTCACAGTGACAAGAAAAATTAAGTAGCACACCATCAAAGTTATCTTTTAAAGTGAATGGGGGGAAGAAAGGGTTTCTAAAAAGAGCACAAACTAAAGCAACTAATTAGCCCAAACCTGGGGTAAAAAAAACCCTCAAGGCAGAGGAAGAGGGTGGAAAAAAAATCTCAATAATGAGAGTACAGGAGGGAAAAAGGTCATTATAGAAATAAATGCACAAATAGAAAGAAGAAATCACATAGAGCTCGGTCAAACAGAAAACCCCTTATATGAATAGGGTAGGGGCAAATAATAGTTAACGAAAAAAGTAGTAAAGAAATTATAGGAATCAGCAATCACTCTCAACAATAGCACTAACTATAAATGGTACTAAGCTTCCAATGGTAAGATTCAGGAATACATCTCCCTAGCAAAAACACAGAGACTGATAAGGATTCAAACTCATTTCATGCAGGTTGAAGCCAACAACCAGAAGTAGTTGTGTTCATATCTGATAAAATAGGCTCAAGCCAAATAAATGATTCCCTATGAATTAAGATAATAATCTGAATATATTCATATATAATATATAATATAATAACATATACATATATATAATGCTATCTTTCTTATTGGCTAAAATGGTGGGCTAGAAGCCACCTCCTTTGTCACACAGTGAAGAAGAAAGGCAGAATAAGAAATAGAAAGATGTATTCTAAAGAAAGACAGAAAGAGCTTCAGAAATCCATGAAGCTATGAGATGAAGCCTAAGGTGCAATATCCCAGGATGTTGGAGATTCAGATCATGAGATATTCACCAAGGAAAGCTGCAGACATGGAGTGAAGTTGGGTTAATGGAAGAACTGTTTGCTGAATGTGGCAGATACCAGGGATAGGGGGAACTATCTAAGCTTTTTGGAGCTCAAGAGATTTCATCATAGGATCCAGGTGCTGGACATGGACATGAGGGATTTGGTTTTACCCTGCTTTTGGTTTTGGTCTTAGTCTGGTCTAACATTTTACTGTTAATGTCCACATATATCCAGTTTGGAAAGAGCATGTACCCTCTGTACTGCGTGTTTGAAATGTAACCTGTTTTTTTTTTTTTTATGTCATGGGGCTCACAGTTAAGAGATGGTCTGCATCTCAAAGTATGCTTATAGTGTTGAATAAGATCTGTTAAAGACTATAGGGACTTTCTGAAGTTGGATTGAGTGCATTTTTCATTATAAAATGGCCATAAAAGGAGTAGAAGGCTGAAAAGTGGTATGTTGGGGTTTGAAATTGATCAGGGAAGAATTGTAACAGTTAGTATTGTCAGCTTGACATAATCTGGAATTACCTAGAAAACTAATCTCCAGGCTTGTCTTTGAAGAACTGTCAAAATTACAGTAACTCAGGAGACCCAAACATAACTGTGAGCAGCTGCATCTCATAAACTGAGGCCCTGGACTAAAGAGAAACGAGAATCTTAACTGGACACTAGCTTCCATTCCCTCTCTGCTTCTAGCCCGTACGTTGACTGTGACCAGATGCCTTCCACTCCTGTTGCACTGACTTCCCACAACGCTGAACTGAATTCCTTCATTCTTCCAGGTTTTTTTTTTTTCCAGATCTTTTCATTACAACAATGAGAAAAGTAACAAGCACAATACAAAGAATCACAAGATGCAAATTAATGAAACGAGATTTGAAAATGGCGAAATTCTAACGCGTACCAAGGAAATCAGAAAACCATTACGGCATACCTTAAAAGCTTACGTGTCCTTACTGGGTGATGGTGCTGCAAACCTTTAATCCCGCCACTCAGGAGGCAGAGGCAGGTACATCTCCATGAATTTGAGGCCAACCTGGGCTACAGAGCTAATTACAGGACAGCCAAGGCTACACAAAGAAACCCTTTCTCAAAAAAACCAAAATAATAACATAAGAGTAGTAGCAGTAGTAAATAACAATAGTAGAAAATAAAAAGCTCACATGTCGCTAAACTGGAATATCTAAAGGAAGGAAGGAATTTCTGTAAGCACATAACCAACTAGAGTTGAACCAAAGATGAGATGACAATTTAGACCAATATTTAACAAGCAGCAAAATTGAACCAGTAAAAAAATAACAACAACAACAACAACAACAAAAAACCTCCCAACCATAAAAAGACCAGATTCAGATGGTGTCACTGCTGAATTCTAACACACTTTTAAAGCAGTATCACCAATGTTTCTCAAATTATTTGGTAAACTAGGAAAGAACGAATCCAAACTCTTTTTACGAAGCCAGTATTACTTTGATACCAGAAGCCGACAGACACAGCAGAAAATCACAGACCAGTTTCCCTGATGAACATAAATGTAAATTCTTAGTAGGTTATCTGAAAACCGAATTAAACACATCAAAAAGATCATTTATGATGATCAACTTGGTTGCATCTCAGAGATGGACATATGGTTCAGCAAAGGCCATTCAATAAATGAAATATATCCCATAGATGAACTTCAGAACAAAAATCACATGATCATTTCCATAAATATAGAAAGGGCTTTAGACAAAATCCAGCATCCCCTTATAAGGAAAGCCCTAAAGAGAGCAGAAATATAAGGCACATACCTCATGATAATCAAGAGTATATAGGACAGACCTATAAACAATATAATATTAAATGTGGAAAAATACAAAGCGTTTCCACCCAAATCTTGAACAAGGCCAGGAGAGCCACTCTCTCTTAGCTCTGACAATAAGACAAAAGACAGAAATAAAAGTCATAGATTAGAAATGAAGAAGTAAAAGTATCCTTATTTACAGATGATATAACTGGGCACATATCATCTGTAAAGACCATAAGAACACTACCAGGAAGCTCTTAGATCTCATAAATACTTCCAGCAAAGTGGCAGCCTAAAAAAGCTTAACCTAGAAAACTCAATAGCCTCTCTACAGATCAGCAACAAAGATGCTTAGGAAGTTGGGGGAACAATGTCTGTCAAAGGGTTGGTTCAAATCCCATATAAAACTAAGCAAAAGAAAGGCAGAGAAGACTCAATTAATAAAATCGGAGTTGGAAAGGAAGACTGTGCAACAGATTCCAAGGAAATCCACAGGATCATCAGATAATAGAAAACATATTCCAAAAAATCCATAACACTAATCAAAGTTGATGGAGACCAGCCTGAGCTCCACGAGACTCTGACTCTATCTCTCCTCTACTATAAAAACAAATACACATGTAAGACAGGAAAGCTGAGACTATTTGGGAAAAAAGCAGACCAATGGGAGGAAAAGGGGTAAGTGACAAGGAATGAATATAATCAAGATAAATATGTCTGAAAATGTCAAGACAAAGTTTATTTTATCATAACCAAAAAAATAATTAAAAAATCTGAATATGGAAAAGACGGATGCTCGCAAACCAATAACCACATTTTACATTTTTTAACTCGGTAAAGTTAGAGCAATTTAAAACCAATATAAATGGAAGAAGAGAAATTGCTATGACCAAAGTAAAAACCAATTATGCAGAAAACAGAAAAAAAAAAAAAAAGCACGAACACAGATTACATCCAGATCTGGTTTCATGAGAGAAATGAAATGGATAAACTTGAGAGTCAGGTTCAGTGCTGTACACACACAATCCACGGTTACAGAAAGAACACTCAAATCCAGGTGTGTTAGATCTGCCCCAGCAACACACAGAGTTAGACTCCCTGGCTCTTCCAGGCAGATTAACTGGAAAAAACACAAGATACAAATTAATAATATTAAAATTTAGGTGGCATTCTTTAAGTTATTAGAGAATTTTAAGTGGTACTATAAAGTTATTAAAGGATGCTGAGAGACTATTGATATGATTATAAATCCAGCAATTTAGATTAAATAAATTATTTAAAAGACACATTACCAGTGGTCATGCAAGAAAAAAAAATAGATGACCACAGTGCCTGTGTTCTACTATTATTTTTGAATTTATGCTTAAAATTTTTGTCATAAAGAAAACTTTAGGCACAGATGGTTGATTAATTCTATCAAATATGATGACAAAAATAATGCTAATTTAATTCAAGTTACTTTTTAAAAGAATTGTGCAGGGCCATCGCAACCTTTATACCCAAAGCAAAGGCACGAGAAGAAAAGAAAACTGCATACCATAATACTTAGGAACAAAGACGAAATCATTTTACACAAAAACTTAGCATGCCAAGCCTAGCTATATTAAAGACACTCCAAGTCATGAAACACACGGAGTTTCTTTCAGGAATGAATGGTCAAGGATGATAACCAGTACAATCTGCTCTACTGACAAGCTGAAAGAGAAAAGGTGTGAGCTACCCAGTCATCTTAGAGATAGAAAAAGCAAAATCCAACATCTGTTCTTGATAAAAAATGTGCATCAAACCAAGGACATAAAGGGGCTTCTTTGTCTTGGTCGGCAGCCACTGAATGACACTCTCCGCTGGCACACTGGCTAATCCTGAAATCCTGAATGCCTTCCTGCACAACCAGAAGCAACACAGGTGCCGCTTTCACCTCTGTTCATCATCCCATGGACTCAAATTGTATTCAGAGATTTAAAATATGTTTTCCTGTTTCTGCATAATTCATCCCCATTGTGAGCTTAACTTATTTGTCAATGTTTACCTTGATTTTATACCATTATTATTTTTCTAACTTTTTAAGCAAGCATGCTAGGAAAAAAAAAAAAAAAGAAAAGAAAAGAAAAGGAAAAAAAAAAGAAAGGCAGACAGCTTAGAAAGGAAATAAAACTGGATTTACGGATCTTGTCATCATGTTCAATTATGTATGTCAGAAACAATCCTAAAACATTAGACTGGTGTTCTAAAACCCGCCTGCATGTGTGGGGTCTCTGAGTGGTGAGTGGGTAGCAGGAAGGCAATGGCTATCTGAGGCACTGTAGGATGTTTGACACAAGATGCCAGTAGTACTCGCCCACTTTCATTGCCGGTCCACTGCAGCTGCAGCAATCAAGACCATCTCAAGGAATTGTCGACCAATTTTCTGGTAGGGAAACGTCTTCCCACAAAATGTAAGCCAGAACTCTATCCTAAGAGCAGACTTAGGCTGAAACAGTTGGGACAATCATATTTAAATACAGTTTAACCAAATATGTTTACTTTATTTTACTGTGTGGGGTAGGGTACACGCGGAGGGTCAAACTTTTGGGAGTTGGTTCTCTCCTTCTACTATGGGTTCCAGTGACTGAACTAAAGTTGTCATGTAGGACCAAGACATTTCACCAGCCCTGTTTTCCTCCGGATCTATTATTTATATTATTTGTTTAGTGTGTGTGTGATGGTTCGAATAGGGATGGCCCCCATAGACTTATGGTTTGAATGCTTGGTCACAGGGAGAGGCATTATTAGGAGGTGTGGCTTTGTTGGAGTAGGTGTGGCCTTGTTGGTGGAAGTGTGTCACTGTGGGAGTGGGCCTTGAGGTCTCAGATGCTTAAGCTATGCCCAGTGTGACAGCCATTTCTGCTGCCCTGGGATCATGATGTAGAACTCTCAGCTCTTCCTCCAGCACCATGTCTGCCTGCACACTGCCATGTTTCCCATCGTGATGATAATGGACTAAATTCTAAAAGTGTAAGCCAGCCTCAGTGAAATGTTTCCCTTTATAAGAGGTACCATGGTCATGGTCTTTCTTCACAGCAATAGAAACTGTAAGACAGTCTTCCCCCACCCCACCCCTGCTCCTTCCCAGTGTGTGTGCTCATACAGAGGTCAGAGGACAACTTTGGTTCCACCTTGTGGAGGCCAGGTCACTCTTATTTCTGTTCTAGGCTAACTGGTCCATGATCTTCTGGTTAATTCTACCATCTCCCATTTTACTGTAGGAGTACTGGGTTTGCAGCTGCATGGCACGGTATAGATTTTCTACACGGGCTTGGGGAGTGGTAAGCACTGTTACCTCCTGAGCCATCTCCCTGGCCCTCAAGGCATTGCTCGAGTGAGGCAGGTGGCATTATCACTAAAAAGATGAAGAACACATGGGTATGTTTTCTTAGAGGTTTGCCGTAGAGTCTCATCTTCCAGCTCCCAAATTCCTCTAGAAAAGCCAGACCTCACTGTCTCTTCAAATGCCATCAAGGTCTTGGGAATCTGAACTCGAGTGATCTTCCTATCCCCAGTCCTGAGAGTTAACTGTCACATTAAAGTGCAGAGCCATGCATTAGACCTGACTGGTCTAAGTAGAGTGCAGCCGCAGAGTGGCCAAGAGGGGGACAGCCATGCACAGCAGACATGTACCTGTAAAGAGAACCAGCTCTGCTGCAGCTCTTCTGTACTGCTCTGACTCACACCGGCAGCCCTCTCTGTGTTGATTTTGTGTAAGTGTGTGTGAGCCATATCGACATTGATTGTGTGTGTGTGTGTGTGTGTGTGTGTGTGTGTGTGTGTGTGGTATACAGTTCACAAATTGCACCTTGATTGCATAAAATGATAACAGAAAATACTATGTAATGGGTTGAGAAAAATTTACCTTGGGGTGGAAAGCAAAGCACATTCCTGGGGCCTGTCGAGATATCAGAGCCTCGCCTTTCTTTTCCTTTTCTCCTCCCTTTTTGTTTGAGGTACTCATTCGCTTCAGTCGCATCAAATCTTTGTGGAAAGAAATGTGTATGTGCTGTTCGTTCGTACATATGTATCCACATAGTTCCACATATATGTGGATCTATATGCATGCACAAATTACTATTTAACTACTTGGAGAAGTAAAGTTAGCGTCATGCCTGTCTCCTTTGCGAATTAATTACATGCATACGATTAGATTAAAGTCAGGAAAAGCCAAATCTGGATTGCTTACGTAGCAATGACAAAGTCCAGATTTTTTTTACCCACTGACCAAGCCAAAATTGGTCATTTTCCACACAGAATGTTTTTCAACTGAAATTTTTAGTTCAACATGTGATAAAATGGGCTTTTCTTTGTTTTTTTTTACCATGACAGTCCAGTCCTTTGCGAATGACCCACTTGCAGACCCTTCCATCGGCTGATATAGACACCAAGATTTCTCTCTTGTCAACCCCGGTAGTTCCTCTGTCTTGCTCTATCCACTGCACTTGCCAAACAGGTCCCAAATGTTTTTGAGGTGATTCACTAAAACAGAGGAAAATGGCAAATAAAAACCATTTAAACAAATTTTGAAGACCTCAGAGTGTGAGAACTCCCAAAGGATCATTATTCTATTCCTAGAATGATGCTTTAAGTTTAAATCGATACTTAAAAGTTTTTTACATTTGTACTCATTCCATGTGTGGGAGGCGGGGCTGTGGGGGGATTGCATGTGTCCCAGGGCACATGTGTGTGTGTGTGGGGGGGGGTCAGATAGGCATCCCAGGGATGAAACTGATCTCAGGTCATCATGGTTGGTGGAAAGTGCCTTGAACCAACTGAGCCATCTCACTGGCCTCTCTCTATTTTTATTTCTTAACATTTATTTATTTATTTATTTATTTATTTATTTATTTATTTATTTATTTATTTCCTTACTTGTGTGAGAGTCATACTTCTAAATGGTTAATCATTTTACTAATATTTACTATTGTGTTTATCTCCTTGAAAATTATATTGACCTAGAATTCTACTGCCTTTTAAAAAAGAAATACAAAGAAAACATTTTCTCCTTAGAATTGATGTTTTTTTTATTTTATATATCCACTCTTTAGACATGTTGAGTAAGTAACTTTACTTTTTTAGTTTCTTCTCCATTATTCAAATCAGCTAAGTCTTTCGACTGTAATTTGAATAAACAGTCCCTTCTCTATTTCATTCTTATCCCTATACTTTTAGGATTACCCACTGATTTGCTTCCAAGATTTAACTTTTTTTGAAAAATTAAAATTATCTCTCAGATTACTGGCTTTTTCTATCTGATGAATGAAGTGCTCAATTCCTGTTACTCGTTCCCTTTATTATTTTATACAAGCTTTCCAAATACAAGAGTTCTGAGTATTTGGTTAAAAAAAATTATAGGCCTTTTCCCAGAGACAGGCACCAGCGCACATGCTGGTGAACCCAGGCAAACACTTCAACAGTAAGAACCTCTGCTCTGTAACTACACCAGTCTCAACCAAGCTTATTCTGACACTGCTTGCAAGTGTGTGCCACCCATATCCTGAAATCCAGTCTGAAGCAACCACCTAATTTATTTAACTATCTTTTCTTTCTACCTGCCTGTGTTCTCCATATAACTTCAGATAGTTCCTGTACTGCTGTTGCCTGCTAAATATCTTATGACATAATGAGAATACAGAACAAAGCCTCCCCCTTTGCTCTCAATGAGATTACACAGGAGCTCAGAAAGATCTAGCAGTCTGTCTCCTCAACAACAGTCTATAGTATGGAAAGCATCAAGACTAAGGTGCATAGGGGACACAAAAGAAGGGAAGTTCCTTGGAGGAGGTGATGTCAAAGCAATAGTTTAAGAATATTTGTAAACCACTAAGCCAAGATAAGTTTGTTGGTAAGGTGGACAGACAACAGTATGAAGGAGGTAATGAGTATAAACTCTCTAGCTGGAAACAGGATGGAAATGTTGTTTTCAAAACAGCATTTTTGAAATGTATTTATTTACTATCAAAAACACATGGTATTATATTCTCAGTAACAAAAGAATAATCACTTAAAAATAAATAACATTCACTCTGATAAATGGTCCTGGAAAACAAACAAACAAACAAACAAACAAACAAACAAACAAAACCTAACAAGACTGCATTGCATGTTTGCTCATCTGCTTCACAGATTCTTACCTACTGTCCAGCACTGGAACGTTATTTTTGTTCTGCACATTGTAGATTGCAACCGTGCCGTTGTGGTAGCCAATTGCTAGGAGATTAGGTGCGCTGATTGAAAAATCCACAGAAGTAACTCCAAATTGACTCTGATAAATACGCTCTGGCCACTATGGGGGTAGGGAGGAAATGTTTTATTACATTTTAAGCCCTCTTCCAGATTATAGTAAGGCAGACTATCATGGCAGCTGAGACTAACAAGTTAGCCTGCCTTCAGTTGCTCGCGTCCATAGTTTCTAGGACACATAAAAACAGACCTGGTGCCCTCTTGTGGTGTGCAGGCGTACATGCAGGCAGAACACTGTATACATAATAAATAAACCTTAAAAGAAAACAAACACATCTCGGACTTCTGCATCAGTGGTCACATCTGGGCAATCGTCCAGCAGGGGTGAGTGTGACCAGTACATATTTTCCTCCTGATAGAAACACATAACGAGCTGCAAACAGATCATGGGTTTCTATCTTTTGGCATTTGCTTCAGAAACTTGGATTGTTTCATTATTTCTACAAAGCAAATAGAAAAAAAAAAAATCCTCCAAAACTCTCTAAGCTACTTCTTTTTATGACTCTATCATGCCTAGTCTAAATTCTTTCCTCTGTCTAATCCCTGTGTGTAAAGGAGGCACATTACTGGTGATGAATTTCTGCCAGTCCCCTCACATCTAAAATAGCTTTTTCTTATGCATGTTAGCCCAGTATCTCGATGAACTGTGACTACTCACAGTGACTTTAATCACAGTGATTATACTCTTTTACCCTCCGTGTTTTTGACCTCACACTTTACTTCCACATTAAAATTAAATATAAAGCTATACATCAACTATATATTTTGTTAAGAGCAGGGCTTAAAAGGATATTAAAAGGATATTGCCCTTCTTATTTCTCCTTACAAAATTCACAGAATTAGCATGATAAAAATCTAGGATGTTAGATACATAAATTACTAGACTGGCTTGATAGACTGGCTTGATTCTGAGATTTAATATTTTTTCTGAAAAACAAATATGATTATTTCTCAGTTGGCTAACTCTTTTCCTAGTAGCTGTAGTACTCTATTCCTAGTCCTGATTCCCTGGATAACATGCATTGTTTTCAAAGGGTCTGCAGTTACAGACTCCTTAATATTTAGCTGTGATAACACAGTAAATAAGAGATACTTGGAACGTATTATGTGAAGTCATAAATTACTTCCCTTTACCACATTTAAATAAAAACAAACTGTAATTATTATGAATTTAAACTAAATAAAACAATGAAAACCAGGGGGATGGTCTGTTGGTAATGTCCTCAACTTTCCGAGCCTGAAGACCTGAATTCCATTCCCAGAAGCCATGGAGAAGCGCTCTGTGCTGGTGGCAGGTGTTTTTAATTACAGTGTTGGTAGGCAGAGACAAGGAGATCTCAGGCTAGCTAGCCAGCCTCTCTCATTTACTTCATGATCTCCAAGCCAATGAGAGACCCTGACTCAAAAAACAAGGTGTGGCACCAAGGTAACAATATCCAGAGCTGTGTGCTCTGACCTACACACACACACACACACACACACACACACACACACACACACACACA